TTTAATTTTTTAAACTTGTCTAAAAAGATGGGTTTTATATGCTAGGGTATAGAAGTAGAAAGTCGGCAGTTTTTTTATTGTGGATGCTTTTGACATACAGATGTCTGAGGCTGTGTGTGTAGGCAGTGCGAAATGATTGGCATCTCCAGAGGTTTGAAATTTAGGTGAAGTGCAGGACCCTCTGCATGTGCCTATTTTTCCAATAACTATGGAAGAGACATCTACAATGCATAATTTATGGGACCCACCTTTGGCGGGTTGGTCTGGCTTGGTAGGTGTCCTAGCTTTAGTGCAGATACATCTTTCAGAACAGCCAAGTGGACCAGGCATGTAGAGTGCCATTGCTTTGCGTGTGCACAGCGTGCCTGCTGCCCCCAGCACAGGTGCTGCCTGCTGGGAGCTTGGTCCTCCCTTGCTCGTGGATGGAGGTAAGCGATTCCCTTGAAATGGTGATTGATGTCTGCTATAGGGGTAACTGAAGATGAAGTACTCCAAACATGTTTTGTGGAATGAGTAACAAGCCTTTGTGGTTGAACGCTCATATGTCTTTTTTCTAGTTGCATTCCTCTTTGCTCTACACCTAAATGTTATATATTAGTCCATTTTTGTTACATATATACTGTATCAGTTATACTTTCACTCTGAAATTCCACTGTAGGGAAAAAATCTTTTGTAGGTTCACACTGCCTGTAAAGATCTGTATCCTCGTAAATGTCCACTTGGCCAATGTAAGGTATCGATCATACCTCCAACAGCACTAAACAGTATAGACTCTGATGGTACGTAGTTTTGTAGTGTGTTCCGTGGTAGCTCCGGACTTGCAGTGCTTAGTGAGATCTGTATAACTAAACAAGGCTAAAATCCTTCTGCTGAGCAGGTGAATGCAGCCTTCAAGTTTAGAGGAAAGTATAATTGTCTGTGTTTTAGAGGATTATTTAACCGACATGATTCAAAAAATGGTTTTGAAAGTTTGCCCACTAGAAATTTTCTCCTGTTCATTTATGACCCTTGGAAACTTTTCAAGTGAATGACCAGAGTCCTCAGATGAAGTGGGCTGATGCCTGCCTGGCATGCATCACTCATTCTGTGAGTTCTCAAATTTTGGATAACTTTGCTTTATGCAGAGGTAAGCTAGCTGAACGGCTCAGATCCAACAACTACTTTACCAGGCTAAAGAGAGGAATTGCTTCCATAGCTTCTGTAAATTTCTTTTAAGTATAAGCAGTGTAAGAATCCTGCAACATACAGACAAAAACCCAGCAAATGTTCAAAACTCAGAGGTGCTCTTTGGTGGCTCAGGAGAGAGACGCCTGACCAGTGGGAGACTGCGCTTAAAGGCAGGGAGTGGATTTAATAAGGAGTATCATGAAATTTAACTGCTTTAATTTTATAGTTCGTGTTGATGGCAAAAGTAGACCAACAACTTTTAACACAATTTAGTGAATTTTATCGTATGAAGTTAGTAAAGGATTGTTTATGCTGTATACATTCACTGTATTTACTTGCTATGTGGTGTCTTAGACCAGAGTGTCATGCTGCTATTTATTGTTCATGTTAGGAAACTTGTTCCATATGTGAAATTCTTTTTCTTGGCATTTAAATAAATTGATCAAACCTTATTTTAAATTATACATTATGATAATGTGGAATTAAATTAGCATCCTTTAATGCCAATTTTTTATTTGCAGCTTTAGTAATTTTTTTAGTAATTAAAAACAACGTAGTCATTTTAATATTGCCTGAAACAAATGTCAAAACCTATACCTGTGATGTCTGATTTTGAAGTGTTGCTGAGAAATCACTACTTCCATGGACTGGTCATGTTAGTGACAACAGTGTCCATTAGTACTACTTACTAAGGGCCTTCTAGAAAGCCTGATGTTAATTAGTTAAGACCTGCATTGACTTTAATAAGTTTTGGATCACAGCTGAAGGTCTGTTTTTCAGTGATTCTATTATATACTATATTAATAGTATAACTTCAGTCTGAGAAAAAAGTTTTCATGCAAAGTCTCACCTGGGAGCAGCTGAGTACAGTAACTTTTAAAATCTGTGAGTACTCTTAGAAAGCTCATACAGACGTGGATGATCTAGTTCAACCCAGCAAGGTTAAAGAAAAACCAAACACTTGTAACTGAAAGATATATTTAATTATGTGATAATCTGTGAAGATGAGATTTGAGAAGTATTCTAAAAGGTTAATAAACTTTTTCACTGTGGAAAAACAATAAAGCTATTGTCTTCAGGATTTTACTAAATCTAGGCACTGAAAATACCGGAAAGAAAAAAAAGAACTGGTAAAACTTGAGCAATTGCAGGGCTAATACTCAGTTTAGCATTTACATTATGAATGATAAAATGTACTCCTTTTGTCCTTCATCCCTTTCTTCCTCTTCCTCATGATTTCTTTTTGTGTTGTTCATATTAAAAAGCCTTATTTATTTCATTCTTTCTAACTATGTTCACAGGTTTCTGGAAAGCCACATGCCCGCCATCCTGTGCCAGTCCTCTTTTAGTTTTTGTTAACTCAAAGAGTGGAGACAATCAGGGAGTAAAGTTTCTTCGTCGATTCAAACAGTCGTTAAATCCAGCTCAGGTGTTCGATTTAATGAATGGAGGACCTCACTTAGGGTAATGACCTTGGAAATCTTGAGCAATCCTTTCCGCAAGAGAATTTAGTGCAAAGTATAGTGTTGTATTGTCCCCTCATTGCTATAATTCTATCACCAATATCTACTGTGATTTCCTAATTAAAATCTAAGAGATAACAGAATTTCAGGATGAATTCTGGTGGGTGAAGGGATTGTAGGATAATGAGAAAAGCTCACTTGAAAATTCAAAACCAAAACCTATCAGCCCAAGTGTTTCCTGGCTTTTTGGCTAGCTTTGACTTCTGTTAACTCGTAAGGTTCAAAACAATTACAAATGTTTAGATCTTTCCTGAATCAGGGCCTTGATGCACAGTTGCCCGGGTGCTTTTCTTCCATTTCATATGCATAATTCAGATATTCCTGTGACTTTGTTGTGAATAGCTATGGAATAAAACTATTGTCTAGATGTACTCTATATCTTTTTGAATTCTGAACACAAATGTCAGCGGGGGAGTCTGCAGTGGGTGATGGACGAGTACTCTAAAACTTTTGTCATCTGAAAACTACATTCAAAATATGGTTTAGGCAACATATGCAAATGGTCAAGAAAATGAGCATCTCACAAAATTTGGAGCAAGAACACAATTAAAACCATCAGGCATTCTACAAAATCTAAGGGTTGATTGTTGGAGAGATAGGGATGAAATTTGCATAGTGGTGGCCACAACCCAAGCATCTTTGCACATTCATAAAGATTAAATTCATGCACATTTTTCTGTTGCCTAACTTAATTCCACTCAGATGTAGCGTTGTGGTTAAATGGCCTATTAGTATCAGTTACAGCAACTAGAAACACTGATTTTTGTACTCTTAAAGATGCAGAATTATGCTTGCATGGTAAAAATGTAGACGAAACAAATGTACAAAAATTCAGTTCAAACAGTAGGCAAGTAATACAAATATAATGGAATACAGATGTGGATTTTTATAGTTAGTACTGTGTTATGGACAAGTTATGTTAACTCTTTAAGTTGTAATATTCTTTTCATTATAACCCTGATTTAAATCTGAATTTAATCGAAGTCCCTCTTGGCTAACATTTTGTACATGTAATTATAATGATGGATAAAAGTAAAGAAGGTTCATCTCAATTGGAGAGACAATTTTTGAGAGAGAACAGTCTGAAAAAATATGTCTATCTATTTTCAAGTTCTCTTGCTTCATCTAGTTGTACCTACCAGCAGCATGGTTCGGGAGGCTCACTTTGGTTTTGCACGGTAATCATAGGTCAGGTTGGTTGTTTTTAAGTATTTTTCCAAGTTTCTAAAGAGAGGTCCTTAGCAGTTATTCTGTCAGGTCGTGCTGGTGTCGTCTTTCTTCTAGTTGATCTAAAAAGCAGAGTTGCATTCTTCGAGATAATGTATTACTAGGGGGTTTTCTCTCTTTCCTCAGGGTAGGAGAAACTGTTCTAGTATCAACATTTTTTCCTTAAATATCTGCATCTTTTGTTCTGAATAGGTATCTGCCTATCATATACAAGTGACATTATTTATCATATATGTGACATTATTTTCTTTAGAAAAAACATAAATGCTTCAAAAATTTGTGATCTTAATGTGTTGCTTTTTAGAAATAGTTCTGAGATTATACATATTCTGGAAAATAACATGCATTCAAAATGAACATCTTTTTATTATTTAAGAGTTTCTACTTTCCAATTTTTCTTTTTTTTTTTTTTTTTTTAAGTTTAAATCCCTGTTGTTTTTACCTCTTGGCTGTTTCTTCACATCTCATTCCCCTTTCCTCTGTGTCTCACCTTTCTGCTTGTTCTGTCTCTCTTGTCCTCCTTTTCTGTACTGCCCAAGTGTTGGATCCTGTAGGTGTTAAAAGTCAGAGAACAAGAGAAAGAGCCGTAGAAGCGAAAGCAGGATACGGCTTTACGGATTTAATATGAAATACTAGTATTATTTGTCTTACATTGTTGTCATCCCCTTACATGTAATAATTGCCTCCAACTGTCCTTGCATTTGGTTAGTCACCTGTTGGCAAAAGCCCACCCGTATTGTGGAGCACATCTTGTTTGTTGTGTTTTAACCTCGTCTCGTGAAAAATTCCCTGTGGTACCTTGTCCTTCTGGCTGAAGTGGGAATCACAGAGCAGTTGCAATTTCATAGCTTAGAAATATTTTTTTAAATATTAATGAAATTAATAAAATAATATTAATAAAATCCTGAAAACAATATCAAGGGAATTTTTTTTTAAGTAAAACTCGGCATGTTATTTATCAGAAATGTCAGTGTAAGTGGAATATACAGCAATAGATAGGATGCAGTTAGGTTTGTTAAGTAATTGGTTGTATCCACATACCCCAGAACAATATAACTGTTCTCTCGCTAATGGACGTAACTGGCCCTAACAGGCTGCGTTTTCTCTGCAGTTTGCGGTTATTTCAGAAGTTTGACAACTTCAGGATTCTTGTGTGTGGCGGCGATGGGAGGGTGGGTTGGGTCTTGTCAGAAATTGATAAGCTCAGCTTGCACAAACAGGCAAGTGTGTATACTTACTTTCCTTGACTATATTTACTAGACTTAATTTTGTACCCTTACTTTTCCTTGACTTGGTTCTTTGTCAGATATGTGGGTATGGGCCAAACTCAATAGTTACTCTTAAATGAAAATTTTCACTGCTGTAAACGGGACAAGTTGTATTGGGATTACACAATTTCATTTACAAGCTTTAGACATGAGCAGTATAATTAACATTTGTTGCTTGAAATAACAAGCCTTTGTAATAGTTTGTACTTTGTCTTTCTAGTTTTCAATAGTAGATTTGCTCCTGTGTTGTGTTTCAGTGTCAGTTAGGAGTGTTACCCCTTGGTACTGGAAATGACCTTGCTCGTGTCCTTGGTTGGGGAGGATCCTGTGATGATGATACACAACTTCCTCAGATTTTGGAGAAACTAGAACGAGCCAGCACGAAAATGTTAGACAGGTAAACCTAAATGTGCATACACATAATTTACCATGAGATCCAAATTGTATTTTTGGGGTTTCTGATGGCCTAAATCCATCCTAGAGAATGTTCAGTGGCTTTGGCTTTTGGAGTGCAGATCATAATCATGAGGGAAGCCGAGATAGTAATGGGGACAGCTCTTCAACATCCTTTTTAAACTGAAGAGTCAGAGTGGAGAGTGGTTGATGACTCTAGGGAGCGTGTTGTCCAGAGGTGAACAAAGGAGACAGTTTATTGTATAACTGATGAAGCTGGATAACTGCCTCTTACAAGAAGTTGTAAGCAGTAAGAAGTTGTATAGCTTCAAAAACATTTAGGGCAGTTTTACAAACTCCATGCACACTGTTAAATACCATGAAAGGTAGCATCTTTATTTAGGAAACACCTGAGCTCTCTGTCCTTGCATGTGGAGAAAACTCTCATCGTATGCTTTCACCGTTCATATAATTTCCTGAGACATCAGCTGTGGACAAGATGCTGGGCTAATTGGATCTTTGGCCTGATCCACTAATATTTTTGTTGGAGGCATTTTCTTAGAAAAACCAGAGATCTTCCACTCCTTGTTTCGTGTGGTTTCCATCCGTAAAGCAAAGGAGCAATCCAATTTTAAAAAGTCAGAGATGGTGGTGTTCGTGTCATTCCAATGAAGGTGTAACACACTGTTTTTGAGAGGAGTATTTCTTACTGTGTTTCTTTCTCTCATGGGTGTTTCTGTTCTTGCTCTAGTTACAAACACTTGAATGTGATCGAAGAGGATTTTATTTTACGTTTTTTTAAATTACATAGAGAAACAAATCCTTTCTTTATTTTAAGCTTTTCTGCAGACTATTTGATCATTTTACAGCAAAGTATATAGAGAAATGATTGTTAGTGATCCTTAGAAATAATTGTTGGCCTGGGCATTCTGAAAGATTCGTAGATTAAATCATGTTTGTCGTCTTCTGTACTGAAAAGAGCGCTGTCATTTTTTACTCTAGTCTCTGTAGACTTGCTCCCAAGGCCATCTGCAGTGAGTACTACTTCTTTTCAGCAGGCTTTGAAGGATGTTGCTATTCACGGTTTCATACTATCTATGCTGTAGAGTACTGTCCTTTACCAGGGGAAAAAATACATATGTGTCAATGAAGATACTTCACCATTTGCTTTGTTCTCATGCCTCCCTCCCCGAGTTGAGATGAAAAGCTAAAGTTACCTTGGAGCTTTTTCTCTAGGAACACATATATTTTCCTTTGACTTCTGCAACTAGTTTGCACGAATTCTTTTATACTGTAAATGTTTTGCTAGAAAATCTTTGTTGCCTGCATTGAATGTCCCATGATTTGCTCACAAAGAAGGCTCATCATCAAATCACTAACAAAAAATCTAAGCAATAAAACCAATTATTATCTTCCGTCTCAATTATTTCACCCATATTAAGCTGGCATACAATTAAAAATTAAGATGTATGTTTGTTTGCTTTTTTTAAACAATCAATGTGACACTGAATTGTCTTTTGGTTGATATGGTGGAGAAAAGATAAAACTAATAATCTGGAAACTTCAAAGCTGTTGTGTTTCTTTTAGATGGAGTATAATGTCATATGAACTGAAATTACCAGCAAAGCCTTCTATTCTTCCAGTGACTGCAGAAGAGTCGGAGGAATGCCAGGTGAACTTTTACTTTTGTTTTGTTGCTTCATATACTTAACTTTGAGCTTCTGGGATGACAGTATTTATAATTGAAGCACTTGCATGAAAAATAGAAACAGATGTTTTGTGATCTGCTAACTGAACTGCGTTAATGTCTGTTCGTGGCATGTACCTCAAATAATTAGGGTTTCCAGTTCTGTATTATTTGCCAAAAATGAATGAAGGTAAGGAGTCTTCACCAGAGCAGTCAGAAAAATTTCTTCCTGAGAAATACATTTTTGATATAAATATATCTATCTTATATATT